AAGACAACGCAAGATTGCACATTATTGCACTTGATTATGAGTTTGTTCAAGCAGCCACAAATCAAGAGTGGAATATCAAATTATGCATGCAATCTCCAAATAGTCCCAAGATGAATCCATTGAATAACGAAGATGTAGAATACAATCCCGGACATAGTTATACAAGATTATTTTTACCATTTTGACTCAATTTTTAAATTAACAGACTTGGTACAACTGTGGACGTTTAAGTTTTTACTTGGACTGAAGTTTTTTAATTCGATTTGTTCTGGTTTGGTATGTTTAAGTCAGATCTAATAAATGTCTAATCTCTGTGCATTTCACAATTTTCGAAGTCTGGTGATCTGGTCCGGTTTGTTGAAATCTTATCTGGTTTGTTTAAATCTGATCTAGTCTGCTTTGGTGTGGAACTGAAACAAGTCCAAGTAAAAACATCATATATGTCTATATTGATTAGCTTTAGTCCACCGAATCTTTTAACTTAGGGCTTGTGTACTTATTTGTCCAACTTTCTGTTTTTGTTTTCTGTTTCCAGTTCTCCATTTTTTAATCTGAACACATGTTTTCTATTTCCTTCCCATCATTTTCTATGGAGTCAAAGACTCACTGTTTTTTGGCTTGAGAATATGATTAAATAAGACAAAATTGCGAACTAAACTGCATGCGCTTCTTTGTTATGAAGCAACAGTCAGTCCATTCCGTCATGCCCCTAACCTACCCGGACACATCAACAATCCGCCGTATAGTACGAATAGTCAACCGCAATCCAACTCATCCATACTATATAAGGCGTCTTGAATACCATTCACACATAGTACATCCATAAACAAACATAATGTAAAACATTCATTTAAAACAGCGGAAGCATTAATACAAGTGTTCAAGCCACACTTGGCAAACTTAGGCATACAAGCCCCCAAATAATTGTTCAAAAATAATATCAATGAGAATTTATATAATCGTTTTTAAAACAGAACGGAAGAAGCATGAACCACGTCTTCTTTCCTTGATCTTCCCGAAGCAACGGGCGATGGTAGCAACTATCAAGTTCTACCTGAAACTGTGAGGTGGCCTCCCCCGTGAAGGGGATGTCAGTACTTTGAAGCATTTGAAAAATACAATGACAACTACACTGAATATAATCATTGTTTCAATTTCTAAGACCCTCAAATTAGGGTGATATCATAATATAAATAATAATTTATATTTGCCCCTTATTTTCTTCATAATAAGTTAATTCATTAATTTGTCGGCACACGATCTCTTATTTTCCATTTCATTCATCGTTTCCACGACAAAACCCGTAGGTCTCATTGTTTCTACGGGACTTGCTACCGCTATCCGAGGCCTCATAAGGTCATTGGTTCGGATTCCAACATCTGTCCCTGGACTCATACTCATCATCCCGTAGGAAGGTAAGGCCCTTCAATTCGGGGTCCTATCTTATGTGTTATCGCTGTCAGAGCCTAGTTAGGTCTCCGATTCGGATTCCACCCTACACGTGATCACGCTGCAAGTCCATGCTATCCAACCACACTCTCTAGAGTCGGGAAGGGCCATGGTTCTGACTTATTATCATAATTCAACCAGCTATCCTCAAAGACTATCTAACACACCCGTAGGCCAATCCTATATGTAGGATCAATTTATTATTCACCTTATCTTGGGCATCCCTTAAGGCATACCCCTAGTACAACCTACTGTTCATACATATTCACCTTAAAGTATCTCTTAAGACTATTTAAGGAATAATAATTCACAATTCAATCTTATGATCAATTCTAGCATAATCACTCATTTAAATCCCGACTAGTATTCCAATACTAGTCGAATGAATCTTGGAACTATCAAGTCCTCCATTCATATTTATACGGCCAATTCAAACTGATTTTCCAATAAAAAACATAATTTATTCAATATATAAAATATCACTTTTCACATGCATATAATCCTTATATGAAGTAAAAGTATATTTTGCCAATAAGCCTTATAGTTTTCCAACTATCATGTCATTCTTCCTACAACACATAAACATACATAATTTATTCCAAATATGTGTATCATGTTCCTTTCCTTTATAGACCATAGTCTTCTCATTTTAGGTATTATTACTCATTAATAATCCATACAAAACATGTTTAATTACCTTAGGTAATCTTATGAAAGCAACTCACTAATTATAAGTGATATAGTCAGTCATCCTCACCTCGAATGAGCTTTAAGAAGTTCTACCATTTCTCGGTTGAACTCCGGCGACGACTAGGAGCACCTCAGTCAAGCTCCTTAATTTCTCAAGCCTAGCCTTTCTACACTTTTACTTCCCTAAGCTTCTTCTTTGGACTACCTTGGCTTGAGCTCGTTTTTGGGTATTAAGAATGGAGTCTTGGAGAGTTTTTCTCACTTTGAATGATGGCTTCGTCGAAATGATAAGGGTGGGTGTGATTGAGAATGCCTTTTTGGCATTTCTCTCAATAATACATAAAGGAGGTCCTACCTCATTTAATGTTCTGCCTCTCCATTCAATTAATTTCTTGCATCTAGTGATTTGTGCGGCTCATCTTTGATAAATGCAAGACTACAAACGTGGATTGGCCCCCACCCATGTGGGACGTCATCCCAATGTGTCTCAAAGTGTATACTTGGTCCCGAAAATTGGATTTTCTGGACAGTTTTAATTATATTTTATTTTATCGGGTCAATCATAGCACTTGGGTCGTCCAAACATTTTTTACCATCTCGGTTGGCCCAAATAGGACAGCCCATTAACCCCTGCGGATCACCGGACAAAAGTCTCTAAAAGCCACAATAGTCTAGGGACAAATACCCTCAGAGTGGTCAAAGACAGTGACGACGTTCGTCTCCTGCACCGAAATGGCAGTAGGCGGTGACGACGTATGACCTCCTCTCAAGGGGCAATTGATCAGGCAAACCACGCATCAGGAGATGCTTCCCCCTACTTCATGGGACGTACATCTCCAAGGACTTGAGCAGCTGGAGATGCCTTCCCCTTACCCCCGGGGATGTACGTCTCCAACAGGTCAGCAAGGCCCATTGCAAGACGAACGTCTTCAAGGACTGGAGATCCCCCCCCCCCCCGCTTCAGGGGATGTACGTCTCCAACCGGCCACAAGGCTCAATTGCGAGACGAACGTCTTCAAGGACGGGGATGCTTCCCACTGCTTCAGGGGACGTTCGTCTCCAACCGGCCACACGGCCCAATTGCGAGACGAACGTCTTCAAGGACAAGGATGCTTCCCTCTGCTTCAGGGGACGTACGTTTCCAATCGGCCACAAGGCCCAATTGCAAGACGTACGTACGGAACTTTGGCCTTGGGAGCAAGTACACAGGAGACAAGTTTGTGGGGACAATTGTCCCCCACTACTTTGCGCAAAAAGCAAATACATACTGCATTTTAAATTCAATTACATCCGGGTGCGGTGTCACACATGCAATTTTCGACGCGATTTTCACTATGAGTCATGTGAAAACAATCTTTTTCTTGATTTAGTACAAGAGTATGGCTTTGTACATTCGACCCCCTTACCTTACTGTAGGTGGGAGTCTTTGTGATACTGGGGTAATGATGATGATGACTTGTTTTCTGTTTTATTTTTCAAAACCATAAATTATGTATATACGTACATTAAGGAATTGAATCCTGATAGAATCGAAGGCGGAAAAAATAACAAACATTACTTGCACCGTGAAAAAATTAATATGTGTGTATAATACAAAATAAAGTACATCTTATCAAACATTACAACCTAAAAATTAGTTTTCCTAAATAAATGGATAAAATTTATTATTCAAAATACATTGTTGCATAGATCTCAAAAAATATGTAGTTTTGAAAAAATTTATCCTGATCGGATGCCCGAGCACGAAACAAGCACAAGACGCACTGTAGCACCGCGTATTTTCATTTTGGAAAACACCGAAAGTGAGTTCTCCAACTAAAGAAGAAAATAAGAGGCATGTCTTGGTTTTTTAATTTTGGAGAATAAATAGGTAAACATGTTTTCCAATTTTTATATTATCCACTTTTTCAAAGAAACAATTGCAAATGTAAAACTCTTATATCTTCTAGCGCTTTGAGCGGACGACCTAGCGTGTCTAGGGCAGGATTTGGCGGACAACGGCGCTAATTCTCGGCGGTGGCTTTGTTCCGGATAGCAAGGGGAAGATAGATTGAAGACGAGGTACTATATCGTTAGTCCCTGACATGAAGCAGTCTTGGAAATGGTGGCCGGTCAAGGTGATTTCGACCAACGAAGGTTTGAGAATCGCTAGCTGGAATTGCCGTGGTTGGGATCTGTTGTCCTCAGATATCAATGGCATGTAGCGGCTCTGGAAGTGGCCGTGGACCTGTGTCGGCTAGGGTTGCGAGGCCTGATTTTCCGATGCTTGGTTTGGCAATTTTGGTTTTTTTAGGGACATGTTTCCAACAAAGCCCACTATCCAACACCTAGGATCTGTTTCGGACCGAAACAAAGTGGCCGAGCAACCTAGAGTTATGAAAATTAGGGACCGAAACAAAGCCCACTATATTCGGGGTGGGAAACAGATCCTTAGTGTTGGATAGTGGGCTTTGTTTCGGTCCCTAATTTTCATAACCCACGACCTTACGGGTAATTTCCGGGTTTAGCAAAAACCTGACCCGGACCAGACCGATCCCACCCCTAGGAGATACCTAGAAACCTCCCTAATCATGAACATGGAAGCTTTGATACACTCCCTCTTGTCTCCCATCTACAGCTATAAATAGTCAAATAGAGTCTCTTGTTCATTAGCATCAAATCAAGAATGAGAAAAGAGTGTGTAGTGTACACTTAGAGAAGAGTGTGTATTAGTGAGGATTATATTTTTTTTGTAATAGTCGAGTGTGAGTTTGCTCGTTCTATTTCATTTCTGTTTTTGGTATTGAATAGAAAAACATTCCAACCCCAATAATATATTCAAAGAAAATTCTACTATCAATTACAGTAATCTGTGTAACCAAGGGGAGAAAGAAAATGAATAGCTGTTTTTATTGGAGTAGAGGATTACATGTTTGGATGTGTCGAGGTATGATGTTTAGTCACAGTAGAAGTCAGGAGAAATAAAATGAATTTCTGTTTCATTTTAGTCTTCCAATATGTTTTTGAAGAAGTATGTGCCCAAAACAAACCATACAAGAATGAGAAATGAAAACGAAAACAAGGCAACAAAAAAAGGCCACCCGACCATAAAAATGCCCAAACAAGCTACAAACACAAAAGGGAAAAATGCCCTCACGACTGAGAGGAGGTTGACCCATCGCCCCTTCAGCAAAACAAGGGCCGCGACATTGATCATGTTCCAATTCATTGATCCCTTGTAGCACATCCTGTTCAGGCAGTTGGCAATGAAGGAGTGGCTGTTGCATGTGAAGAGGTTGTACGATTTGTGCTCGAATTGGCGGATGCCGGAGTGGATCGTGTCGTCCCAGCTAATAGCTGTTCCAAACTCTGCATGTTTGTACCGATGAATGCACGAATGCCCCGCAAGGTTCGGCGGGAAACAACACTGTTTGCACATTAAGTTCCATCATTAGTCATGCATGATTTCAATGCAATTGCCAGCAGGAAGCATTTTATTCACAAGTGGGAGAGTAAGAAATATACCATATGAGCAATTTATTCACTAGTCTCGTTTGACCCACGTACATTTTGTTAATTTTGACAGGATACAATGTCATAAATCAAGAATCACACCTATATTTGTTTGTTTGAGTAATTTTATCACACTTAAACTTGTTTACAACAACAACAACAACATCCAAACCTTATTACCAAAAGATTTTGAGGTCAGCTAACTTAAACTTGTTTAATGAAATGAAAATACTTTTTTGTTTACAAAACTACATATAAATTAGCTATGTTGGATCAATTGGATTCTTGTTTTGGAACAGAAAAGCTATACGTAGATTAACATTTTCTCTTCTTTTTTTAAACAAATATATCAGTACATGCGTTTTTATTCTAAAACGTCAATGGTAAGTGTAAGCCAAGATCTTGTACGTGAGTTTATATCATTATATTTAACATGTGTAAGATGACTTGACCCTAGCTTAGTGAGATCTAATATCATGTTAAAACACGGGTTGCATCTCAAAAGTCATCCAGATAGAAGTAGTCTAAAGTTCTATTCTTCAGTTTGTATAGTTTATATTTAGTGGTGTCGGATAGAATAACAGGAATGTGTACAACACTAAAGATCAGGCATTACACATCAAAGTGATCACACTCTTCATGCGGCTCTGTAGTAGGCTAGTAGCTTTACACACAATAAAAGAGTAAAAGAGAGGGCTAACCATACCACACCAGAAAAATGTAGCATGTATGTACCTGATCTCTGTCTAGTTGAAGGTATTTCGCCACAGCGCCATATGCGAAGTCGTTAACATTGATAAAGCCGGAACCCGTAAAGTCAATCACTGCCCCATCCTCCCTGCACAGCCCGACATGACCAATAAAAGGAGCCAACCACGACACCACTGGAAGGGGAGTCCAAACCAAACAACATGGGAACTTTCCGTTCTTTGGATCTATTTCATCCAACGGCCACAGCGCACCTTTCATCCCCTGGACGACATTTTTATTCTCCACTCTGTAGGCAGGCTCTACATCCATTAACAGAAAAGTCCTTCCCTAGAGTTTGAAATTCATGTTTAGTTCCAAGTCATGTTTGGCCTAATAATATAGGAAGCCTTCCATTTTTGTCCCATTGCAATAAGGTCCCTTTCATTTTTAATAATGCTCTCAATTCTATTCACTTTTGGTGCATAACAATGAGTTTCTTACAATTTTCTGTCCATATCACTTAGCCTACTTCCACAGAATTTCCAGTAGCTAACTAGCTATTTCTTTAGATAGTGAGCAAAAGAACTCAAAGTGTCAAGAAATTTAGAGTCATGCATCAAAAAGATAAAAATGAAAGTGATTGATAAAAAATGAAATGACCTAATATTCGTGAGAAAAGCAAGAGGAAAGGGGCGGAAGCAGTCACCCGCCCCTGGTCATACAACTACACCAGCAACTTTGATTGATTGATTCAATCAGATGTTTTGCAGCAACAGGAAGTGCCCAATTGTAGCACGATTCATAATATCTATGGGTAGAAATTCAAATGTTTGTTGAATGGAAGGAAGTTAGATATATAGGGTGAAATTTCCATTTTCCATATATATCAGCTAAACCTCAAAATCATTCCAGTCAACCATCTAGAGTCAAGTCACACACTAAATCCACCTTACTTTTTAGAACAATAACAAAAGCTAAAAAAAATAACTGCCTTCCAAGATACCTAATGGTATAAGTTATGAAACTTCAACAGGCTTAAAAAATAGGTATTAATCTCAAAGCCCTTTTTTCTTTTAACCATCTGAATTAAAGCGGTCTCCAACCTAGCTAACAAGCTTTTAGCAGAGGCTGCAGAGACTAATTAAGCAATGCATACCCAAAGATCAGAAAATAAAAAAAAAACATTTTGCTTTGTTTTTTCAAGTAAACTTCTCACTTCTCAGCAACCATAACGAAATACCCAAAAAATGAACTTGAACAATGGTAGAAGGGACACAGAGGATTCAAAACCCAGATGCCAAAATCAAATCTTTGTAAGAATCAAAGCAAGAAGGAAGCACATTACGTACTTAAATAAAATAAAAATGGGAAATTGAAGAGACCTGGAGAGAAATGGCAGGTGATCGGTGTTTGGAGGTGGAGACGTGGAGTGGAAGATTCGGGGAATAGAGAAGCAGAGAAGGCGGTCTTCAAGTGTGTTAATGTTGAAGGTGTGGGCTGCTGGTTTTGTTGGAAGTTGTTTTTTCTGCGTACCCTCTGATCACTTTCTCTGCAACTTTTGGAAAAGAGAGCGGCCGGATAAAGATGCATGAACCTTACACACGCGGACTGGTCATCTGGCCCGCCCACCTTCCTTCGGGTCCGTTCGACTTATGTAAGACGTGCGTTTGTTTTCTAAGAAAAAAAATGCCTACACCTTGTTTTATAAGATTGTGTATGATGCAATGTTTAACAAAGAGTGGAGAATAAAGATGCCTAGAGATCTACGAGCCTTTAGAGTTTTGTGATAATCTCTCAAAAGTTTTGTCGGGTCGAGGTGTGCGGCCTTTAGAGTTGGAATTCAACCTCTTGAAAGATTTTGGATTATAAAGTTCGTTTCTTGTCAGAGTTGTCACCCAACTATATTTGTTTATCCATTTTGTTTTTCAAATCTTGGTGCATATCCTTCAGAGCATCTCAAGTTGATCACAATAAGTCTTGCTCACTACTCCGTATTAATCAAGGCTAAATCGTCTCTTTTCCCGTAAAAATATGAGAATCATAGAGAGCAAAATCCCTCTCATCCCCATTTGATTAGATTTGAATTTGAATACAATACCCCTCACTAAGGAGAGACTTAGTGAGAGCTATACTTCTCCCTCCACGAAATTTTATTACTACCTACGTTCCAAATTGATTTGCAAATTTGACTTTTCTTAATCAAACAGTTTCATTTTATTCGCTTAATTAAAATGTCAAATTTTAATTATATTCTAATTTGGAGCTTACAACTTTGAAGAATTTTAATGTAATTTCTGAATATATAAATTTTAATTATTAAAATTGAAGTAATTATCAATAGAGAACATTGACTTTTTTTATTAGTTGACCAAAAAATGTTGATTTTGCAAAACAACTTGTGACGAATGGAGTATTTTTTTTCTTATTTAGATATGTCAAAATAATATTACTTCTAAGAGTTTTAACATCTCAATATTACTTCTCATTTAGATAAACGAAAGTAATTTCATATACTTGAATGCAATACTAGTATATGTTATTCAAATGTTAATTTATTACAAATTTTGTAAGTATATAGTTTAATATATGTTCAAGATTCTTTAATTTGTAGATGAGAGCGAAACAAAATGAGAATTTAATTGTGCAACAACTAGATTATTATTATTATTATTATTATTATATAATAAAAATGGTATTCTAGAAATGATTTAATAGTATGGCGTACCCGGCCGGCGTAAGGAATGGTGGAGTTGCAGGTAGCGAGGTGGTATAGGAAACGTAACTCCTTCCTTCCACCCGCACTGTCGCTCTTCCTCTATTCTGAACTCGGTTAGATGTTTTCATTTATAGTCCGTAAATAAATAGACCAAGCCAAATACTCCGTAGCTACGTGGATAGGACAAGAAACTAAATTAAAGATATAAGGAAAGTGAGTGTAGTCCAATGGATGATTTGTGTTGATGATGGAGAATTAACAAAAACCACAATTTTTTTACATAGAAGAGAAAGTGACAAGATTAATCGGACAAATATAAAGGAAGATTGACAAAGTTCTAAGAGACGAAAGGAGTATAATAATCTAAGTAAGTAAATTTGGAGTTATTTTTATTATTGAATGATCAAGATAAATATTTATTTTTAACTATACACACATATACTCCATATTTATTTTTTTGATAATCCAGGTGTCGGGGCTTACGCTCCCATAATCCTGGAGTCTATGAACTACCCTTCAAAGCTCCTAAACAGTTAAATCCGGATCTGATCACAGTCAGCCTCGTCAGTACTGGCTCCAAAGGACAAATCCAACAGGACTTACATCACCTTTCAAGTTGTTCCTCCCACCACACGAACTCGTTACCTTCATTATCATCCTCTCCCTTCTAAGATATAAAATATTCAATAACTAATTTGGAGTTATTAGGAACGGGCTATAAAATAATCCACTTAAATATAGTGACGAACTGACGATTAATTATATCCTATTAACGATATTCGTTACTACTGGCAAATTCGAAATTGTGATTGAATCGTATTGTTACGTTAAAAGAACCAATGGGATTGTGATTGAATCGTATCTTAGGTCAAAAGAAGCAATTGGGTTGTGATTGAATCTATCTTAATATAATTCATCTATTAGAGTATGATGGGAATGTTTTTTATCTTGTCTAATTTTATTGTATAATCTCTGGATTTGTCTAATAATTTGAGATGTCTTTTTATAGTCTCAATGTTTTAATATGCCTTTGTTTGGTTTAACCCTTACACTACAAAAACACGGTATTCACATAGATTTTGGTAGGGATATGCTTAATACGTGCTAAAAACACTTTGGCACGAGCTATTTGGCACGAAATATTGATAAATGTGTATCAAATTTCGTGTCAATCCCGTATTTTTTTGTAATGTTATTCGAAAGTGCGATAGTGTGAACTTATTAATGATGGATATAAGTGAACGTACATTTTAATGTATGTACTACCTAAAGAGCAAAACTTTGTTGAATGGAGACGTGATGAATGTATTAGTGACTATTAATAGTACACGTTACCAAACAATACTTTATGGCTTTAAGTTGCCAATCATGTGATTCATGTGGATAATAAGTGATTACGACACATCCAATTTATTAACAAATTAAAGAAAACATATATGTTCTTAAAGTTTGTTTAATTGTTTAAAACATAATAGTCTTACTCTTAGATCTTGTTCACACACTTTTATGTTTGGGTGTTCAGGAGAATAAATAAAAGTGGGACAAAAAGAGTGAAAAACACGTGACTTGCATGTCCGTGTTGTTGTGCAGAAGCGGGCAGGTGTCACATTATTATCAATTTAGAAATCTTATTATGTGTCTAAGTTCTTTGAACGTTTGAATGCAACGAATAGTCTATTCTGCACTTTGGGTGGCCGGCCGGTTGGATGTGTGCTGACCACAAAAACCCTAAAGTATCAGTGGTTAATGGTTATACGCCGGTAGTGTGTGAGCATCATGCCTCTTTGTTATTTTTTATTTCTTATTTTCTTAAAATTATTATTAATTTTTTTTTTATTTTTGATTCGATTTTTATAAAATTTATACCAAAATTTTTTATTTCCCAGGGTATAAATTGCGCTAAAGTATGGCATTCTCACTAGAAAAAAATAAAAAAAATTGGACAAATTTGACACGGATTTTGACATGGATTCCTCACTATTTGACACGGATTATGCACAAATACGTCAAATTCGTGTCAAATCCTGTGTTAATGTCGTTTTGTCACCAGCTATTTGCCACAGCGTCGAGACAAAAAATACGCTATGATCCGTGCCAAACTCGATGAACTTGTGTCAAGTCCGTGTCGGTTGTTTTTTATAGCTAGTGATCGAGTTTAATATTTAAAATGTCCCATGGAATGCAAGTAATTATGCTTAATTTTGTTTGGTAATATGTCTCATGTGACTCATATAGGGGTGGGTAACTGTGCATAAGCCGAATAAGTCCACTTTATCTCTAATTTTATAAGAATCACCAATTCCATTAGATGGATATATGAGTATATCCACGTCAAGTGTGTCAAATTTGAATGGTGAAATTCATAAAATTAATCCTTACTTTTAGGGATTCTACAACAATAATATCTACCGACAATGTTCACAAAAAATAATTTGAACTAGCAATTGTGTTCATAAGAATGAATGGGGTGAATTCAAATTAATGTTCATCTCATGCTCTCAACCCTTGCTTTCACTTTTATCCTTCCCACTCTTTTTTTGAGGCAAATTCAAACTAAATCTCATTTAATATCTACATCATTTCCGTCATATGTGATTTTCTCTAGATTAGAACATGCAAGTGTTAACGTAGACGGAGAGTGATTAATGAGAAAGTGGGGGTAGAGTTGAGAGTATTACATAAGTATTAATTTTAATTCATTCCAATTTATTCTTATAGATTCTATTGTTAGTACGGATTATTTTTATGGACACTATCAATTGAGATTATTATTGTAGAATCCAAAAAAGTAAGGATTGTTGTTGTGAATTTCACCAATAAGTTCACACATAATTAGGTCATGGCTTCACAAATTAAATACCAACAAAAATGAAAGTAGAAAATAAAATAGCATCATCAATGAACTTAAAGAATGGTTCCAAGAGGATCGAAGTTACATCGTCACCACTCGTAGCTTACAAATTTCAAGATGCAATTCTGTAAATAAAGACGCGCGAACGATATGAATTATTAAGTCGCATCTTTTATTTACAAAAAGAAATTATAAGAGATGCTCAATGAACCTCTAAGCTTAGCTAGAACTTCAGATGAGGAATTGAGATAAACGTTTATCTCCGCTAATGGAATTATGGCTGCTCTATGCTGGACTTCAGTTTTCTTCAGTTTAGTCTTTGTCATGGACTTGAAGAGTACGCATCTTCCTAGTATATGAACTATTGTAGAGTACTATATTAGTAGAAATATTAGTAGAGTACTTTCTAATCTCATAGACAAGTTAGAAATAATTTTACAAAATTTAATTAATGAAATTGGCTAACAATTATTAATTACTAATTCATCAAATTGAATAACTAGCTCAATTAATTAATTTTAACCCCTAATTTTCGGCTAACAAGTCAATCCATATTCCTTTACTCAATTCATGCCCAAAATAAATTTAGCTTCTAAACATTATTTTTGCATTCAACAATATGGTAAATAAATTAAACATTAACAAGGAATTAAACATGTATAATAGCAAAAATTAAACAAAAATAAGATATTGTCAAAATAAACTTTCTGGAACTACAATATGACCTGGATTTTTTTCACGAATTTTCAAACCTAAAATCCAATTTTAACAATTAATTGATAATTTTCCCACTTTTAACTATAAAATACAAAAGGCAATTAAAAATAGGCTAAATTCGTTCTAAATTTTCTATTGACTACTGGGGGTGATATTACAGTGAAATAAACTGGAATTAGGACCGAGACTATTCTTTTTTCTATTTTTGTGTAATTAATTTAATTTATGCAATAATAACAACTAATTACCGAAATTAATTAAAAATTACTTGTACTTCGTGAAAATTAACTTTCTTCAGATAAATAACAACCTTGAGACTAGTAAACAACTATATAATTAATTGGAATGAATTCAACATCAACAACTATTTTATTTAATTTTTTGGAAGAAAATGCGAAATACTTGATAAATATTCTGGAAAAATTCGAAGAACAGATCGAGAAAACAAAGCACATCAGATTCTACTCGTTGAGAAGATGAAAATACATATAAAGAACTTACAAATAGGAGCTAAAATGAAAAAGATATGAAAGATCGAAGTTGAATGTGCAACAATGGTGGAAATCCGAGCTTTGAAGAGGAAAAAGAAGACCTTTTTGAATTAGTTTCGGGCTAAGAATGGTGTATATGAGTTCAGCAAAAATCGGGCTATTTATAGCACCAAAAATCTCGCAGGCCTCCAAACAGGCGGCCGCCTGCCGCCTTGCTCCGGCCGCCTGCCGTCACATCGCACCGACCGGTTGTTCATTTCGTCGTCTTGTGCCGCAGGCGGTCATCGAAGACGGCCACCTGCCGTCCAGTGTCGGCCGCCTTCGGTTTTTCTCCGGTTCGGTCAAATTTCCAAAAAAATGATTTTTCAAAAAAAACGGCAGGCGGCCGCGCAGGCCTCCATTTTTTGGCCGCCTGCCAGGCCGCCTGTGAGTTTATTTGACCATCTTGTTCTGTATTTTGTGCTCTTCAACTTTCCCTTCTGGACCACTTTGAAATTCTGCTTGCTTCTTTCGGTATGATATCATTTTTCACTCAAATTGACGCATTTTGTGCTTAATTGACCCGGAATTTCATCAAAAGATATCATGGACGTGGTTTTTACCCGATTTCACGAAACTTGAACCAAAATATATAAAACATGCCTTGTTTTTCTATTTTTCAATCCAAAATCACTTAACTTTGATAAGAAAAATAAGTACAAAAATGGACTTATCATGATGTCATTTTTCGCCTTTTGAAATAGTTTTTATATATTAAAATATCAATGACACATTTAATAAAGTGATTACCCGCGGTTATACCCATTACCCGTTGGAGCGGTTATGGTTTGGGTAAAAATTACCCGTTGGGTAATGAGACAGTTACGGGGTGGGTAATTACCCAACGGAGCGGGTACGGTTATATGTAAACTCGTACCCGATTCGCCCCGTTGCCATCTCTAGTTACGACATTAATAATGTTATGTCATTGACATTGTTATGTACATGACACCGGTGACATTGTTATTTTTTCCAATGTTGTAGAGAGACTAGCTTCCAAATCTTGCCTATTCATCAAT